CAGGTCTATTTTCGACCCAGTGGAGTATAAATGCAGAAAGGGGATCAAGACGTACTTTCTTACCGTTTACTGCAGCGTTATGCATGCGGTTTCGGTATCAAGAACCTTTTACGTTTATTAATATATGCCCGGAACTGACACAGGTATCTCCAGACACTCCAAATCTCGATTTGCGCAGTGTTCGTACAGACACTGCAGTCAAATACCTACACGTTCATTTTGGATCTTGGACAAGGGTAAGTAAACAAACGATAATGTTTAATGTGTATTAATTCACTATGTGTTTCACACGTTTAGTGTCCGCTCGATAATGGTGTCCTTGCAGGTGTATACCAAGGCGTAAACAATGGACAATGGAAGGTGGAACAATACATTCATTGTCAGCCCGTCACCTTGTGTTGATCTGTCACATTGTAATGGCTTTTCTGTTGGGGGGGGGGGGGTCATTTTCCATTAAGTGATGTAACATGTACTACAAACAGAGTATATATATACACAAAGTACTTAATTAAGCACCCCTGTATTTTTGCAATGATAGGTTTTCATCACGTACATAAAATTTCTCGTGGTGACCACGATGGAAAAACATTAGTTTTTCTGACCCGTCTGATATTTTGGCGCATAAACACGACAAAATGATTGGAATCCATATTGAATTTATGATGATAATTGCTCATTTAAAAGAAAGCCCACTGATTTTCATACACAACCATGTCTTTACACGTAAGGGGCGGTGGGGTAGCCTAGTGGCTAAAGCATTCGCTCGTCACGCCGAAGACCCGGGTTCGATTCCCCACTTGGGCACAATGTGTGAAGCTTATTTCTGGTGTCCACCGCCGTGATATTGCTGGAATATTGCTAAAAACGGCGTAAAATCATACTCACTCACTCACTTTACACGTAAGGCCCTGGAATGTTTAATGTTGAATTTATTGGTGAATGTGAACATTCAAAATGTCATTTAGCGTGCCTTACACGATTCAAGGTCACTACCGAGTGTAGCTCCATGTGACTGTATAACAGCCAGCACTCTCCTCATCATACCCCCGTCAGGCTCCTGAAGGGAGAACTTAATTCAAATATACATTTATACCGAATTGATTCTTATAATTATTTCGCAATACGGTTAACATCAATAGCACCCCCATTTGTAACTGGCGGATACATCGAACTCTTTTGGGGTCAGTGACACTTGCTGTATGTTTTAGACGAAATGCGTATAACGAACTGCGGTTATGACGACATAAGATTGGTGGTTCTATATAACCTCAGTTCACTGTGTTATAACTATGTCTCAAATCAGGAACATATGGTCCCGCCCACACGTATGCCAAGTTTTCGTTTCAGCAGTCGCTCCATGGGTTGATCTTTCGTCTTAACACCATCGGCTGGACATTGACGCAAATAAAGTTGCAGTGTCAATATGCTGTATTGCCTTGCATTTGGATACACTTCCAATGCTACGAATATTTCTCATATCAATATTTCATCGATTTCCCTGCAACCCTCCAAAATAAAACTTTGGCTTGGGCATCGTTGACCCGCTGTCAACATCAACGTCATAAGCAAATGCACTACGTCATGCTCATTACATTTCTCAAAGATGAATTAGATAAAGTATCTCGAATTTATGGCACAATGTCATTTATACTTCTTCAGAAAGCGTTATATGAGCTTAGATTTACTCCATAATCTTAACAACGTATGGTATGAATTTACAACTTCCTTAATATTTACAACACTACGTTTCTGGGCTACTTCTTGCCCCTTCATCAGGTGAATGACAGAGTATGATGACGAGCAAAATACATTAGGATGTACATGAAGCCAGTGAGATAGTATTACAGATTCAGATGTACAGAGATCAAGGAGATAAAGTGACGTGTTTTGATTAAGATGTACAGAGTTCAAATAGATTAAGTGGTATGTTTATGCAATGGATGTACAGAGTGTTTATACAACGAAAAGGATAGGGTAACCTTGCTTCTCCTCCTTCAAGATTTAGGATATTACGTTTGTCTGCATTAACTAACGTTCATTCATATCCCATTCATTAACTCCTGAGCATATATTGTCGCATATAGACGTTTCTATAGGTCGAGACTCAGCCTAGTGGTCAAACATTACGGTAATTAATTTACTGGGCAAGTTTTACCCGCCAGGTCCATAGGTTCTGTGACATTAATTCAATACCTACTCTGTTTTCATGATCAACGTCAGGCAAATGACTTAGGTACCAGGCTGTAAAAGACGTACTCGAAACATCGTCGAGATCGGAATCGTCAGTTTTCTGGTGAACAGCAGCAATCCTCAATATGCAGTATTCCTGTCATCCTTGTTAGGTCAAATAGGTTCACAAAATTTCACTGTTTTGTCCTTACATGTTGGATGGATGGATGGATGGATGGATGGATGTACCAACAAGATCCATTCTTGATCTTCAGGATCGAACTATTAGTTAAGATCAAAGCAAATTTCTGTGAGCAGTACAGCCCTGTACTGGTGCTTTTGTAGGTTTTCATGCGTTGCCTGTCTCTTGTAATGTCACGCGGGCTAATCACCGGCTTCCTCATTATCTTAAGCAGTCGCCAAATGTTGTGATCCAGTTTAATAATTCAAGCTGTATAGCGATGTCTTACTGTTAAGTTGAGGTCATGTCACATATACCTAGGTAATTCAATAATAGCGAATACAAGCCATGTGCTGTAACATCCTTTAATAAGGACCTCCTTTTCTAAACATAATATGTTCTGTGAACGGCGGATCCAACCACTTTAACAACATAAATATGTCTTGGCATCCGGAATGTCAGCACACACTTTGTATGTTTTGTTTTTAAAATCTGAACAATTATACAGAACATGTAGAGATGACATAACCCAGTTGACAGGAAGTGCACAGAGTTGTAAGATGTATGCTGGGTAAGGTTGCATTGAGTTGAAAGTCAAGACTGAATAGGATGGATTTAAGAAATGTTTAACGCAGGACTGCATGGAGTTTACTGAATTTGAGAAGGTAGAACTGCGTAAAGTTGGTACAGTTAAGCTACGTATGACAACATGAAGTTAGTAGATTTGTGCAAGGTAGGGCTCATTGGGCAGACTTATAGATTTGTACAAGGTTGGACTCATTGGGCAGACTTATAGATTTGTGCAAGGTAGGGCTCATTGGGCCGACATTCAGACATGTAGATTTGTGCAAGGTTGGACTCATTGGGCAAGAGATTTGTGTAGAAGACTCATTGGCAAGGTTGGACTCATTGGGCAAAAGACTGAGCAGTGTTAGATTTGTGCAAGGTAAGACTCATTGGGCAGAGTTAATAGATTTGTGCAAAGGTAAGACTCATTGGGCAGAGTTAGTAGATTTGTGCAAGGTAAGACTCATTGGGCAGTGTTAATAGATTTGTGCAAGGTAAGACTCATTGGGCAGAGTTAGTAGATTTGTGCAAGGTAAGACTCATTGGGCAGTGTTAATAGATTTGTGCAAGGTGGGACTCATTGGGCAGAGTTAATAGATTTGTGCAAGGTAAGACTCATTGGGCAGAGTTAGTAGATTTGTGCAAGGTAAGACTCATTTGGCAGTGTTAATAGATTTGTGCAAGGTAAGACTCATTGGGCAGAGTTAATAGATTTGTGCAAGGTAAGACTCATTGGGCAAAGTGAGTAGATTTGTGCAAGGTGGGACTCATTGGGCAGAGTTAATAGATTTGTGCAAGGTAAGACTCATTGGGCAAAGTTAGTAGATTTGTGCAAGGTAAGACTCATTGGGCAAAGTGAGTAGATTTGTGCAAGGTGGGACTCATTGGGCAGAGTTAGTGGATATTTGCAAGGTGGGACTCCTTGGGAAAAGTTAGTAGATTTGCGCAATGTGGGACGGCATGGCATAAGTATATGTACGATAAGACTATATAGATTATATAAGATGCATTCAAGGGTGTTTCGTGGAGGTTTTAGTCTGCCCAGTTGCATGAAACCATGTTGTAGAAATCTGTCTCAGTATACGTTTGGTTGTACTATATGTTCATGGCCGTACACATAAACTTAATGACAGTAAGTCACGAACATCAATTTGCTTAGGTAGAAGAGCCCTGAAAATTATATGAACGGATGACTGAAAATGAATTATGACATTTTTCGCAGGAAAGAAGAAGCATGCCCTGCCGATGCCCTGCCGATTGGGCAAAGTGAGTAGATTTGTGCAAGGTAGGACTCATTGGGCAGTGTTAGTAGATTTGTGCAAGGTAGGACTCATTGGGCAGTGTTAGTAGATTTGCGCAAGGTGGGACTCATTGGGCAGTGTTAGTAGATTTGTGCAAGGTAGGGCTCATTGGGCAGTGTTAGTAGATTTGCGCAAGGTGGGACTCATTGGGCAGTGTTAGTAGATTTGCGCAAGGTGGGACTCATTGGGCAGTGTTAGTAGATTTGTGCAAGGTAGGACTCATTGGGCAGTGTTAGTAGATTTGCGCAGAACCTGTAGAACTCTTTACATTATGTGGCACACACAAGTATGTTGCAAGGTTTAAGAGGCAACCCAAGTACATAAAAAGTTGTTTAGTAAATATGTCATAATCCACGTAAGCTTATTTTTTTATTTTGATATGTATATTTTTTAAGCACACTCAAGGTTGTTGTCTAAGTTTTTCTTAGTATACATTTTGTTTCATTAGTCAAAAATGCCCTTAACATACGCGTTGTCTTTTTCTATATGTGTGTTTCATGTTCCCGTCATTTCCTTCCCGGTGTGATTTAGCTACACTTAATGTAGCTTTATAAGACAGTTTAAAGTAATTTATGTTATGTAAGTACATGTAAGGTTATTCATAAGCCTGTCATTGTATATGTACATGTTTTTACCTAACCTTATACAAGAAGAAAGCATTTGTCCATTTCCAAATACCTTCGTATATCAAGCCATTTTCAAATAAACGTTGGTAGTTAAATTTAAAACAAAGCGAAAGTTGAACGTACAAGGATACAGAACTAAAGAAACCAATTTCTTACCTTGTCGTTTGTATCAGAGCAGAGTTACCACACGACCTAACCGGCGAAGCTCATGTTTGACGTACACGACAGAGGGTCTTGCCCAGTTAAAGGATCCTAATGCACTGGGGGTCCTATACATGATTTGGCTGCAGGGCATACTTAAATATGTCAGTGGCCAATTGGGGTTGAACATCACATGAATACTTATATGTTGCTTTTTCCGGATGCTAACACCTAAACCTGCATGATTTACCCGACAGGTGACATAAAACTGTGTGTGGCATTGTTTTATGAAATGATTATTAAAACGCCCGTCAACTAGGTGCGGTGAATGAATTAACGATGTGCAAGGAAAATGAGGCGGACTTGACTTGGGCTTGAAAACAATGTTATATACTTCATGTATATGTCCATTGTGTAAAGAGAAAATGCTATTGTTGTGGGGTTTTTTTGTTTTCCGAATACTTCATCGTATCTATTTACATCTAGATACAACTAACATGTAACATGTAATTATGGTGTGGCACAGGTGGCTCCAAGGGATTGTTGCATCTATTAGGCGTGTCAGAAGCCCAAACCCCAAATCGTGGGTTTGTTAGGACCATAACTGTAATAGTAATAGTTTGCTTATATGGCGCTCATACCCAGGCACATTGCCTGCTCACGGCGCTACGTACATTACTATCGTACTTTCCGATACTTTTTCAATTCTGCCTGTTAGACGCAATGAACTAAACACCCACATTGCCAGCTCATCCTCACGGGTACCCATTTTACAGCTGGGTGAAATGAGATAATGTGGATCTAAGTACCTTGTCCAAGGATACTACGCAAATGTGCCCACCTCGGAACCCGAACCTAGGTGCCTCCGCCGGGGTTCGAACCCGGGCCTCAGCACTATTGAGCTCCACAATGGTGAGTGGTACCTAAGGGGCACTACATGCTCTCCCCCATCCGAATATTCAGTGACCCACTCATATAAATGTCACTGTAAGGTTGACTTTTTCACAAATAGGAACACAACAGATGTGAATCTTACACGGCACGACACCGGGTGCTTGCAGTAACGTTTTGTGGTTCCACTAATGTGGTACATGCCTTCGACTTGAGCTTTTTCCAACATCAAGCTGGCACACGTTGATTCTTAATGATGGCCTGTTGGGGTAGCTTCGCTCGTCACACGGAGGGCCAGGGCGCGACTCCACACACTGGTTCAAGTTGTCAAGCCCGTTATTGCTGGAATACTGTTTAAACCGACGTAAAACCATATGCACTCAACATTAATGAACAATACGGTACGACACGTCAAATACCTCAGAATATTCAAAGTTCTGGCGACACTGGGTTTTTACAACAATAATTGTCCATTCTTCCCGAAAGGATCTGTCAAGGGTCAAAGAAATGTAACGGTCTTTCAGAGAGGTTGAACTTTGTGATGCCTGGTACATGTCTGAGATTCAGAAACATCATAGTATAAGGTATTATAGGATGTGTTTAATGAAACTGGTTTATTTATATGACATGTTGAAACAAATCTCTTTGTTTGGATGTTGTGAACAAAAGGTTGACATTAAATTTTGTGTAAAACTAATAATTTATTGCTTCTTAGCGATGGTGAGGTTTAGCAATTAACCTCGGCCTGGGTGGAGTTTTCGCCTTAAATTATTAAGTTGCTTTATTGTTTGTTTGTTCTTGTCTTGTTTGTTTGACGCCACACTCAGCAATATTCCAGCGCATATATGCAGGGCTGAAAGTTCCGTATCGGACACATGCAGTCATCCGTTCCGAAAAATATAAAATACTGAAGTATATGGTTCGTTTGATACAATTTGTCATTATAGTATCATTTCGGCAATTCAGTGACAGTCAAAATTGGACTTCCAGAAGTCCAGGTTTACAAATGTTAAAATCCATGTATGTGCTTACAGCAGAATAAAAGACTGGTGAATGAGACCAAAGTTGGGTGGTAAATTGTACCAAGAACCTTGTCCTGTATTTCTCACACAATTATGTGATATTACTTGAGCTTTCATTTCGCAGCCAGTCTATGTGTGTTTGTTGTTGAACACTCCACTCAGCATCATTTCGGTTATTTGAAGGTAACCATTAATACTCCACTCTGGAACCAAACAATCTAGTGACATATTTTGTGAGGAACCGCAATATCTGAGAACAATGGCACGCTATTAACCAGCCTGACCACCCATGTCACTAAAACGCCTGCATAGGTACCTGTTTACCCCGCGTGAATAATGTGTAGCCTTCGAGGTGCGCATATAATACCGTGAGTGCATATTTAAGTAGATATATCAACTGCATATATGTACATACATTTGGATATATGTACAAAGCTATTTCAGAAAGGTCATGGCCACATCGGCACTTGAAGGTTACAAGGTCATTGATGACATATGACTGAAAAAAGTTAAGTATGTTCATAGTGTGTCTCCTTTCGCCAAACAACAGAAACGTAATGCGAGGTTCAGAGAAACGTGATATTTGTGTTTTAATAATTCCATACAACCAGAAAACAAGGAAACGAGTTATCAACAGTGAATTGAAAATAACCTGACGTACTTAACCTGAGATGCCTACAAGGCTTGGCCTGCATGCTCAAAATGGAAACATTCATTTTGCAAACTTTCTAAACGGAACAGTTTTAACATCGTGGGATGTGTCACAGTAAATGACACATTTACACTTTGGAGCTTTCAAGCCAGCATGGGTTCGCTGTCAAGTTCGCCGTTTACTTGGAGCCCTGGCCTCACGTTTTGCAGATGTTGGAACATACAGTGTACCCCCTGGTTTTGGGCGTGATGAAGCAGTGCAACACGATCGTGTGGCGAGGAATTTACGCCAGATGTATTTGTTGTTGTATCTGCCAGAATTCCGCAAGTACCTCAATGAGCACACAGGGTCAGCTCACGCAGACACACGCCCGCACGCACGCACGCACTCACACACACACATTCGGTTAGCCACATGTCGTTTTACTTTCTTTCCAGAGACGCTTGACGTCCGTAAGATTGTAATCACTTGATCAAAACTCAGGGAGTACATGTATTTGTTCTTGAAAGCACATCTTTGCAATATTTGTTTTAGTTCTGTAAACATCAATTTTTATCGCCTGACTTTATCACTTAAAAGATATGAGCATACATGTGTCTTGCATCTGATACTTGCATCATCTCGTGAATCTATTTTAAATGGCGAGGACTACGCGACATCGCTGTAAGTGAGCCGGTGTGTTTTGTTTGTCAGAATTATAAACATGGTCATGAGCTACACCAGATTTATAAGTTACACAAAACACAGTGAATATCATGAAACCCTAGAAAACGAGTAAAGTGCCGTTTAAACCAGACAGCATAATCCGGGCGGCACATGAATTCCAAGATCACAGATTTCTGGCTCGACGGAGGGTCGCAAGTCTATAACATAAGCAGCAGAGTCACCAAAGTTTACTTTCAAATAGGATACCTTGGTTGTGCCACGTTATCTGATATTATTTGAGCATCTTACAGTCATGTCTTAACTTCTTCACAGTGAGAATGAGTGAGTGAGTTTACTATTAAATGTTTGTCCCTGAACAGAGTCCATACCAACAATTATGCTATAGTTTTTGTGACCACATCACTTCCTCTGTAAACGCACAATAACTAAGTCACCAAATGTGACAACCGGAACAATTACTCCTCTAGTTTCGTAAGCATGTATACTTTCATGGAATTCCCATAATTATCTAGTCCAACAAGAAGCACATGGACCGACATTGCAGATCCGACTCTGTAGATACCGTGTGTGTTTACAGAACCCAGCAGGAAGGCCCGCAGCCATCAGGTGAGATGAAATTGGGTTTAACGTCGTGCTTGAGAATTGTTCGCTCATATGACGACGTGCATGCGTATGTATGTGTATGTGTGGCTGCTTGTACTAGCCCCGACTAATGCTAGTTTTATAGTGCTAGCCCACTGAGATACCATGCCGCAGTGAAGCATGAATAACCCACTCAGACACATTATACTGACTCCGAGCCGACCAGTCCTTGTTGTACCCATTAATGCCGAGCGCCAGACAGGGACAAACAAGTACCATATTTTAACGTCTTTTGGTATGACGCGGTCGGGGATCGAACCCGCGACCTTCCGCTCTCCGGGCGGACGCTCTAACCACTACACCACGGAGCAGCCATCAGTGCTATAACAGGACACAATGTAATCGTGCTTACAGTTTATTTCCGGGCACGATTATAATACAGAAAAAAATAAATACTGTTGGAATCAGACTCATATGTTTCATTCACGCCCTGTTGGATACAGACGAAACAACGGCACGAACCGGGACTGATGGAGGTGTTCGTGAGCAACTCTGAAATGAAAGTAGATTCATCATTAGTAAATGCAAATAATAAGATACACCTGCTGTGTGATGCAGATCATGTGAGTGGTGCCAACATCTGAAGCCATCACCGATTTTTAGTGATCCATTCAGATTATTCTCACCTCTAGCTGCCTTTTTCGCCCACATGGAATCTGTCCGGTACATAACCAAGGATGCTCACTGTCACGTCTTTCAAAATAATCTATACTTCTGATTCAGAACAAATAACAGTTTAGATGTGCACTGATGTTGCTGTTTCTAGCGTCTTATGATAGTACATGCGATTGCCATAACATATTTTGGATTGGTCCCGGAAAACATTATATATTGTGATTACATTTATCTATATTATATCTAGCATGTACATGAACATATATCTAGCATATAATACATATATATATATATATATATAGTTTTTCAAGATAAGCTACATTAATTTGGTACACGACATCTCGCTTCTGTCAAACAGTCAAGACCACAGAGAGGGGCTCATGTCGAGAGTCTGGACAGGGGTCTAAGGGTAGTTTACCAACTGCATGATACGATATAGAACGTTTAAACTGTCAACAAATTTGTGCCTTCAGTTTCGATAACCAGCCAAAACAGATTCCATGTGGTATAAAAGCCACATTAGTGTAAAAAGTATAGCATTGATCACTTAAGTACAGTGACAACAACAAGTGTCAGCCAAATGTTTGAGCATGTCCTGCACGTGCAGATAAATGTTTACAAAACGTGTTCGCCGTGCCACACACGATACCTACTTGTTTACATTACTGTCTTTCCGAAAACCTGCACTTCACACAAGGTCAATAGGT